GACTGATGCACGGGGGCTGGAGCTGATATCCCGTCGTTGGCCGACGGAGTCAAATTGGTTGACACCAAAGAGGGCAAAGCGAAAGCACTGGTCAAACAGCACCGCTCGGTTTACGTGGCTGATGATTGATAGCCACCAACAGCGGTCAGCAGCATGTCCATGTTTATCTTCGAAGAGTTTTCAGAAGCGGTGACTGGTGTGGTCACAGATTGCAGAACATCGTAAGATTGGGTGATGGTGGGATAGGCGGACAGTAACTCACCATAGGGACCAAGAGGGAACTAACTGAAAGTGGGACAGATTGGACAGATGGAATTAAAAGTAGTCGCTTGGCCATGAACAGTGAAATTACGTTCCAGGTTAGTCAATAGTCGGCGGCAGGTATCAACGGATAGACCAAAATGCTGCAGAAAATCCATGGCAATCTATGTCAGGGAATGGAAGATCGGCAACGATGGAGTCCCAAGTGGTCACTTGGGGCAGGCGTAAGTCTACCGTTATCCGTCTACTAACGTAATTCTTAATGGGAGTTCCATTAGCAGCGGACAAAACAGAGCAAGGTTATGGGGATAGGGATTCCGGAGTAGTAGGTGAAACGACGCGAACTTCGGTTCCTGTATCTACAAAAACATAATCCCCGGTAAGCACACCTTGGATGTGAAAGAGGCGGCTACCCCACTTTAGTGATTTCAGCATAGAGGTCTCCAGAAAGAGGCTGATGGTGACCGCCCAGAGTTACCACGTGACCTGCTACGGAACCAGGAGTATCGTTGAATGGGCTTTGAAGTGGCCTGTTCCATCCTATGTACGCTAGCTGAGATAGCCGTGAAATGAAAGGCAATTGTGCTGGATGTGTGGGGTGTGTCAGCTTTGGTAGAGCAACTAAAGGAGTTGCCTTGCAAGTAGAAAGCCCTAGCGTTGCCGGCTACTTCGGCTGCTACGCTGAGGGGACAGCTAATGCATGGTACTAGGACCATACTGACCACCTTCGGGAGCTTTTAGACACACAGTTAACAAAGTAAGTTTTCGCCCACCTTGAGAGAGCGAGCCCTTGCTGTATGTCGCACAAGATTTGGGAAGGCCTAAGGCAGCCAAGATTTACTGACTGAACCACGTTTTTGGTTTATTTCCTCGGTNTTCCTCGGTCAACAAGCCGGTAAGGCTTTAGACAGCTTCCCGATGAGTCCCGTGGAGATGCTCCTCAGGGAAGCGATGTTTGATGTCAAACACTAATCCGGCGACCTCTAAAGCCACTATATGATGGAAGTTAGAATTAGACTGAGTGATACCACGTGTCGAAAAATGCGATTCGACAACCGAAAACCACACAGGGGATTTTATGCTATAAGATTGGACAGGTGAAATTGAGTGTTAAGAACTACCGGGTGCTGCTTGATTGGGGAGATATGCCCTGATGCAGTCATGGTTTGACTATAGCAAACTAAAGACGATCCCTAAATAAAGCCCTAACGATAATTTCTTATAAATACTCAAACCGAGCGGAAGGGAGAAATATTTTCTGAAAAAAATTAAATACACCCCACGTAACGCAATACATATATATATATATCCAGGAAAATAACACGGGTGATTACTGAAGATAAAAAATCAAAAGCTATATCCCAATAACCATAAAATGGGACGGGTTAACCAGTGTAGAGATGAAGATGCTAATTCACGACCTGTAGAAGCGGTTCGGTTTTTAATATCCCTTGGTTCTCGATAACCCAGTAGGTATCAGGAATAACAAACAGTTAGTCAAAGGAAATATACTGTTCCCTTAAAAGCACCGGAAGTTTAGCCTTAGTAAGCTCCAGAGTATCTGGAACGGAAATGATTAGCAAGCGAAGGTGTAGTTCTGAACTCATGCACCGTTCAAAGGTACTACACCGGAGGTGGCAGTGACTTAAGCAAAGATTGAAGAACTAGCTGAAGAAACGGCATCAGGATATCGACGATCCTGGCGGAATCTATTCTACAAAGGAGAAGAATGCACAGGCAAATGCTCCAAACAACCAATGCCTGCAACCATGCGAAAGCATACTTGCTGAACAGGCGGACCAAAGATGGTGAAAACTCTCGAGCACACTGTTGGTCTGAAGCCTCTACGGGTTCGTACCAAGTAAAACGGATCACCAAATTGGTATTGGNTGAATGATCTACTCTTAAGGAGTGTATGAGAAAACGTCCCTCAGGTCCTGTCAAAATGGTATGTTGTAAATATGAAAATGATGAAAATAACAATACAACAATGCACAAGTGCCCAAAATCTAGTTTGATATAAGACCCAGGAAGATACTAAAGATTATTTCATATGACAGAAAAACAAGAAAATTCTTTTCAATAGGTNTTCAAACCAAAGTGGCCTTGAGTTGACCTACGAATTGGGGTAGAGAGATGGATGGGCATAACCGGTCAACGTCTGCCTTGTATTGAACATGTAATGGATTGGCCGCGTCTGTTTATTGGCTATGATAACGTTTTGAGCATTTCTGGTTAAAACATTTAAAAGTCTTCACGTGTATCCGATAACATTCCTTGAAATTACTCAAAAAAGCATCTGTTGTAAACTAGAAGATGGAGTTCTGGAGCGAAAGTAGCTGTCGTCGGAGGTTTGAGCGCATCCTGTAGGTGAATAAATTGTCACACAGATGTTCTGTAAAATTCTTGTATAAAATCATATTTTAAAGCCGTTCCACAACTAGAGAATGACATCAGGCAGTAGATCGTTGAAAACCTGCGTTATTGCGTTGGATTCGGAACTTTCAAAAACCTAAACATTTACTGGTTTGCGGATAGTTCGAAAGTTAGTTTCTTAGGTTCATTCACAATGATGAAATTGAAGTACAGGAGAATGTGGAATGCCTTATCAAACCATACGCTCCTTGTCAAATACTCATCGAAGAGGCCACCGTTTGTTTATGGCTATCTAATTGTTTTCCGTATGGAATGCTCAGTTCCAAAGCATCTTAAATAATACCCCATGGTTCTGATATAGATATTAAGTTGGCAACAATCTGTCGTTCGCTAAACAAAAGTATGTTGCCAGTCGTAGTAAGTTAAAACTAGCAATATAGTTAATCCGTGCAGAAATAAGGCAATTATAGAATTGGGTTAAGAACAATCAAGACACGAAAGTGTCACATGATACAGACGGATAGCGGAAATTAGGATGAAACAGTTCATAAACAGTGTAAAGAGGACGATAACAACAATTTTTATTCTATTTGTTTAAGTATAATCGTTAGGATATTTTGAAAGTTCACGTCACCTATGCCCGTGAAATAATTTCATTGGGAACTGGAAAGCTGTTGACAATTAAAAATCCGACATTTTTTAAAGCTTCCTACAACAGACTGGTTAGTTCAGTGGCCGTAATGTGACCAATTGAAAGATGTTTTACAGTCGACTTCGTTCTTCCGAAATTTTCAACGATTTGAAATACAGGCGAATCCACATTCTGTAATTCCAATTAAAAGGTTTAAGAGAGAATGAATAAATGATGCCAAGCCAAGTGTGGTCGTGGTGTCTTGGTATATGATTGATATGGAAAAAAGGTTTGGTGCTGAAAACATAAAACGGAACAAAAAATAAAATTCAGAACAGAGTGAGTGGCGTTGGAACGTATTCAGACAACACAGAATGATACTACACTTGCATGCTGGCACTAAAGGCATTATGNCATTATGTATAAAACTATTAAAAAATGACCACATTGTAATAGTTTTCATTAGACAAGTATTGCGATAGCTGCACCGAATCAAAACAAACCTACAGTCAATCCAATACTGTTTGAGTTTCCTTGATGTGCAACTGAAATTCACTGTAACGTGATTGAGATAAAATGATCGATTTTGAAAAAGATGAATGAAAGCTCCCATTTAATGTTAGCGTATGTTTTAGAAATAATCGAATGCTGTCAGAATATAAATGAAAGTAGAATAAAGTCAGTCATGAAACTGATTGGAATGTATCTGGAGCACTAAATTTTAAGTTCTGCTCAAACTATTTGAATGAAAATCGAAGAATTTTAGATGGAAAAATCTATTCAAAAAGATCTGTTGGTATGTGTTGATTGTATAGACACGACCTTGACTTACGATATGGTACACTTTGCAAGCTTATTTTGATAAGACCCAGCGGCTCCGGATGGTTTTCCATTATTAATGGCAATTTCTCATCACGTTGGTGGTGTGAACTAGGCAAAAAATATAAAAGTACCGCCATTATTAGACACTTGGTGGGCTTCATGAGTCTTGTTCATCCTAATAGATGCGGCGTCAGTTAGGGCACTCGATCAACTAAAAAGTTAATCGATTTTGAGATTCTTAATCTGCCTTTCTACTCAAATACTCTGCGTTCGGTGTATTTCAAAAGAAACTGCTTGCTTCAACACATCAGTATGCAAGGAATGTGTGCTGTAAAGTGATTAGTGCACAATTCTTTTCGAAGAAATCGAAGCCGATGTTTGATATTTCGAGTGGCGTCGGCGCGGTGATCGGTTGATTTATTGAACCGAAATTCACTCGTATATAAGCTAGATCATGGGTTGATTCCACGCGGGAGCTGAACACTTGTAGCTGTTGAAATGGTATACAACGGCGGTCCTAAAACTCATACAATCTCGTATCATCCTGCCGATTCGGGAATTTTCGAGGGTGATGTTAATTTCTCTAGACTTACCAGAAGAGAAGAAAAAAGGACTTCCCTTATTCGAAAGCGACGCTATTCGTGGATTCCCGAATGTTCATTTAATTCCTGGTGCGATGTTATCCGGCAATGTGTTTGTGAATTTTTGGGGACTTGGATTTTGGTTGCGGCTCTGATTACTAGCGGTGACAAACCGTTGGTTGTTCAAGCTGGTGTGGCTGGACTAACTTTAACTGTGCTGATTTTCAATTTTGTGCCGGCATGTGGTGCTAATTTCNNNTGTCGTACTTTGCCAAATGTCAGTTGTACACTGTCTATTCTATGTACTGTCCCAATTCCTGGGAGCATTCATGGGCGTGTACATCACATCGCTTCTACTCCCACGGACCAGTGCAAGTCCGGAACACCCGTTAGGAATGACCATACCGGCTGAGGGGGTTAGTGTAGCCGCGGCGATTGTGCTGGAAATGATGGCCACTTTTATGCTGGAATTGACTATACTGGTCTCAGCGGATGCAAAAGTGCCGGATGTGGAGATGGGTGAGAGAACGACCATATTTGTTGGCTGTTCTTTTGCTGTCATGACTGCCAGTGTGGTATGTTCAGTAAATACTGACAATAATTGCGATCTATAAATTGAAATCAAAGCGACATGCTTTTTGCTAACTCTTTTAATTCACCAGGTTTTGTCTATTGCTAAGTTGTACTTAATACGCCTGTTACACAGCACAAGTATATATTTGCAGTCAATCGAATATCAGGATGACAGAGCTATTTGATGAGCGTTTTTATGAGGGCCATCAGAAGTGCAATAGCTTTAATCAGTGCTCAGATTTAGGCCACATACCAGCCTCGGAAATGCTTATTCTACAGAAAAAGGAAACCGTTCGAAAAGCAGAAATTGAAATAAATGGTAACAAATAAATAACCTTTATTTATTTCTACTTAATATAATGACATATTTCGAAAAAGCGTTTTTATTTGTTTAAAGTGTTATCGATGACCCCATTTGAATTCTATCAAAATTTTTCACCGCTGATTAGGAAAACTTGCGATATCACAGACTTTTTTCTAAGTTTTTTCCTGTTAGGGATGGACACACACATACACACACCTTTATTCCACAAGACGCTAACTGACATAGGTGTGGTTCCGCATGATTGAAGAAGACGAATGCATGCGAAACTAGGCGTGCCAGAGGATCTGTAGGTGAGTAGTAGTTGTTCTCGAGCATCCAATCAGTCGCTGTTCATGTTCAGGAGTGGGGACTAATTTTTATTTGCACATATTTTGGTCGATTCCTTAAAAATGCGAAATTTATCATGGATAACATTACTGATTGTCTTTCTACATTGGACTGCACTTTAATGGACCGGAAAAAGTATGAACAAAAAATGAGGGTACTTTTTCCGTTTATAGCCTTGATGAACATAAAAATTTGATACTTAGTCAGAAAACCAGTTGAGGATATTAGCATCCTCCATGTGTTATTTTTTGATAGGGTCCCCTGACCGGATGCAGTCTCAATCCGGCTCGAAGCCTGGCACCGGCACTGTTGGCAAAGTCCTTTAATAACCAATGGGTAAGTTTCTTGCTGGAGGGACAGAAGGGTCTTTAGTTCAGTTCTAAATGAAAAAACCCAATATCATCATAGTCATCTTCATCATGCGAGTCATTATCACCATCATTAATAACCTTTTAGTCACCTGATTTATTATTACTACCCTCCTTATTGACGTGATACTTTTAAAGCGTGTACTCCAATTTCAGATCGACAATCATCACCTTGTACGAATGGCTCAATTAGTTTCGAGTATCAAGTTTGGGTTAGCCCATTCGAGCTTGAAACTCTAGATTGATTGACCCATCTGCACAAGACGATGACCGTCGACCGTGTAGCTCAGGGGTAAAGGTTTGAACTCCCGACCTGAATGTTCGCGGTTAGAGTCCTGACAGGGCCACAACAAGTACGCACTGCTGATGAAGCCCAAATAAGACAAAACAACTGTCCAGGGATCTTTGTCGGTTATCACAAACATTTCCATCGCATTTAAATGCTTTCAACTAGTGGGGAATTAACGATCGCCCATGGAGTGAAACCCACACCCAAGACCATCAAGAGTGCCTGTTGCCTCTGAATAATCGAATGGGCTCATCCAAGCTTGGTACTCTAAATTCCTATTATTCTGGCTGAGTTAAAAAAAAAAGTGAGAAGTTTTCGTTTACATCCCTGTCTCTGTTTAACATGGTTATTGAATGTGGATAACCTCTAGCTGACACTTCCATTTATCATTCTTCTATGTAACTTCATTTCTGATTTTAAAATAATGATATAACCGTTTGAGGAGTTTTAAATTTTTATTGAACAAGTAGTCACAATTCATCAAAGTTAACAATGATCAATTATCATCACATTGTATCGATTGACATTCCTCCAGTCACAAACTGTTTAATTTTCTAGAAGACAAACTCCTTTGATCACTGAACGTGTATTTCTGGTAAAGTATATCTACAATTTTAGATGTTCTCAGGGTAGGGATGTAATTAGTCTAAATGGATTGAATTTAACGAAGTAAAGTGGTGAATAAGCCCATTTTTCATTTATTTGTATTCATTCCAAGTCAATTCACAAATAGCTTTATTCATCCTAATAGATAGATTATCTGCTCCTTGCAGGGCAGTCACACAGAGAAAAAGCAAAATACAACATCGCGAATTCAAGAGGAAAGTGGCGCAAACATGTGGAAACGGATATTATTTACCTAGGAGTTTTAAGAAGTGGCCTTTGACGAGTGCTTATTGCGTCAAGAATATCCCAAGATATGGAATAATGGATGAACGGTAGGTAGCGATATACGTATATACCAGTTTATGGGGACACAACGTTACAGAATGGGAGCTATCTTGTTTTGTGTCTAATGGTTGAGCAACATACGATAGAATATTACTGCAGAATGTTTCGTAAGAGTTAAAATATTCGTCGGCGATACAGTTGAGCAAAGGTAAATGGGAAATAACTTTCGTGCATGAAATAATTTTAAGAAATCGAATTGTGTAGTTTTCAACTTTACGACTGGCAAATAAAATTGGGGAGCAGTGAAAAAGATGAGTGACAGCGCAAGAATATATAAAACCAGTGGATAAGCACAGTAGAACTTTTCAAGATCGCTAGACCGGTTGTCGACACAGAGTACAGAGTAACTCCTTTGAATAGTGAGAAAGTGACGTCCCTACATTTAGAGGTATTGCTAGATAATTTGGAATACGAAGACCGTAAGCCTAAATCGGAAAAATTAGTGCAAAGCTGTTAAAAACGGAAATAACCTAAGGGTTTAGAACCCATGGTGACATCGTCAGCCTACTTGATAAGACGATCATCTGGGTCAGTGGGTAGATGTCGAATATAGAAAAAGAAAAGAAAGGGAGACAGTATTGCTCCCTGGAGCACTCCTGAATTGAACGGTAGCGAGTCAGGTGCTTTTACAAGAAACTTAGTGCAGTGTGTTCTATCCGTAAAATAATCTAGGAATACAGACAGGGTAGTACTGAACAATCCAGCATCATGCAGTAGAGACAAAATCCTATTCCCGTCAACACGATTCAACGCAATACTGTGGTCGAGGAAACATAAAATACTGTATCATATCTGTCAAGGGATTGCTAAACTGGGCTTATCAAGTGCGCAAGGGTATCCAAGGTGGAACGTTGCGATAAGCAAATTATATTTTATCTAGCTGCAATGTGTTAGAAATAATGTTACCAAGCATAAAATTTTCAAAAATAATTTGTAAAACGCTAGCGCAGGAGAGTGATCGAAATTTCTTGAGTAGTGTCCATGATCGGATGAGTAAAGAAATAACTATGTGATCATTGTGAGCCCAATTTCCGGACTGACGAATAATCACTCCCCTTAATCTGATGCAAACTGTTTTATTTTTTACTTTCTAAGACAATTGTTTTACTGATGAGTGATAGATATATTGTGATTTATAATCATGATTATGAATCACTGAGAATGACCTTGATTGCCACGTCGTCTTTTGTTTAAAATGTGTCCCGTGGACATAAATCAGTTATTTGCACGCACTAGATCGAATTTCCAGTGCACTTTCATGCTTGTCATGATTTTTACCGCGTTTTCCTATTTGTGCGTGGTCAATCTTTCACATATACATGTAATTCTTACGCAAGTTTTCTTTCACGCACAGATTTATGTAGTCGGTCCCGTTGCCGGTGGAATCTTGGCAGCACTCGTTCATCAAGCCATCATACATCCGATAAATCCGTGTTCACGAGCGCAAAATCTTTGCCCGTCAGAACGAGAATAACACCGGATCTGAAGTGTACGCGTTTTGTCTCCGGCATTGTTATCAATCTTCCTGTTGGTGTTCCATTCTGTACTCGTTTGAAGAATTTCAAGTGTTTCGTGCGGTCTATGCGTATTTCAATAAAGAACTGAACTGATGCGTTTGTAGTTCTGAGTGCTCTGCAACATAAGAAACGAATACACGTTTCGCTGAAACAAATTACACTTCCAGGACATATGTTCCGTTCGATCAAACACCACGTGGTTATGAGAGTGACAATATTTTGGAACCCGTCAACCAATAGGATTGTATTGAAAAACAAATAGAAGCAAAACATCTGCATTTTGTTGGACAAATGAATGCTTTTATCAAATCTACAGCACATGACCTTCCGGCTACTTTGTTACGACCAGTGATTTCTGGAAATTGATATTGAAGCCCTTAAAACCCAATATAAAAACGATCACGGAAGGAGTAATGACCAAAAGTAATTTCAATATTTCATCATCCAGTCTGCGCACAACAGCACGAATGACTAATTCACACGGATATCATGATTTGGTTTGGAATGAGATCCAGTTGGAAGCTGTTAGTGTTGACTGAGCTTTGTGTTCCGAATGAATGTAAGGTAACGTTAATCACTACACTATAGGGTGTTGTTTAGCAAAATTCATTGTCGTATTCTAGTTACAGACAATTGACATTACGATTTGGCAATCCTTTTCTTGAAATTGTTATGTCACCATACCTAGTGTAGTAGGCTGCTCATCGGGGAATAAGCTCAACGGTTGCTGCTACGCACCACGTTCAGTTACGCTGGGTAAGGTTGGAAGAAAGGTTGCATACAGAAGTCTTATATATGGTGACGAATGATCAGGTCAAACGGATGTAAGTAGGCTCGTCTAGGCTTTTACGTTTGGGCACAAGTGACTAACATTGGTTGAGAGAACCAAAAGAGATCCACACGGATGTTTGGACTGTTAAAAAAGTCCAATTCAGTAAGATCATATCACCTCTGATTTGACAATATTGAGACAAGTATAACCCCAATAGCTTAAATCTTTCGCCATAGGTCTTGGAATACAGACCTTTGATCATCTTGGTAGCCCTTCTCTGCGGATGTTCAAGCGCCTTCCGATCTCACTGCAGCTATGGATTTCAGGCATGAATCGAGTACTCGGTCTACGGATGGATATATATTTATATATGTGGCTAACAGACGTGGGAGCAAAGCCGGTTCAACGATCCAAAAACACGGTTAAGCAGTCCCAACTGTTTTACTGTCATGGATGATGCCTCGAAACAGTTTGTGCAGTAACTCAAGTCTGTACGAATGAGTACTCCCAGATCCTTCTCGGATGGAGCATTAGGCAGAGTTTCGTGTCCGAGACTGTGGGGAAAACGACCATTGTGACATAGTGATAGGACTTTGCATTCGGTAACGTTAAATTCCATGTCATTGGAGACAGACCATTTGTGGGCTTCGTCAAGGGCGTTCTGGAAATCAAATGAATTTTCTGGT